AACTTGAGAGCGTCTTCATAAACATCATTTTGAGGACGCAAATATGTTGCATTTTGTGACAATCTCTCTTTTTGTTGGAAACTGCTAGAAGCAGTTGATGAAGGAGTGGCAGGAAAATTCTGTTGACAACATTTAAGCTTCAATTCATTTATTTTATGTGACATTCTCTTCGTTTCTGTGCACAGCATTTCTTGCATTTGGATGAAGTGTCTCTCCAAAGACAAATGGGATTTTCGTCGTTCGTTATCCAAAAGAGATGATAACTGGTGAATATTGATGTGGGCGGTCATCAATTCTTGTTTATAAAGAGCGTTCTCAGCTTCAAGTTTCTGGACTGTGGAATTGATTTTGTGGAGAGTTTGTGATTGTTCAAGTTGCCCTTTTATTTGGTTAGGAAGCCCCAAAAATAAAGATGAACTCGTGTTTGCTGGAGTATCCATTTCAATTGGAGGTGGCAAGTTCCGAGCTCCAGCTGTGGGGAACACGTATTCTGTATCACTACCACTGCTATGTGGGTTCCGTTGGTCGTTTTCAATGCGGTTCACTGAGCGTCGATTGGTCTGTGTTCGTGGGGGACGATTTGTTTCCCGTTGTCTGTTTCCGTCGTTTAATCTTCTGAAACAGGCAGAGGTGAAGTGTCCCCACCTCCCGCAGTATGTGCGCTGGGTATGAAATGCCGGGCAAGACGTAGGTCCCCGCTCATGAGGGTATTTTCCGTTGCAATTCCTGCACCGGTATTGCCGGGGATAGTTGCTTGGTCGGCGCTGTTCGTCCGCGACTTTGTTTATTGGGGCAGTTGTAGCAGTAGCGGTGTTGTTGTCTTCCTGTCGCATTGTTTGTAGGTGCGACACTATCGTCTCCGTTGTCCTGGCGTAGTTTATTAAGTCATGTAGTGACATATCCGAGTTCATGAGCCCCTTCTGGCGGACTTTTTCCGACAGGCAGCCTGTAATTAGTTGGGACTTCACCTCGGAATCCATGTCGGAAAAACGGCACATAGACACAGCTTCCTTTAGTTTGCGGTAGAATTATTCGATGCCTGGGCTATTTTGTTTAATTTTCCGGAACACAAATCGGTTGTATTCCGTGTCGTTTTCCGGGTTGAAGTGGTTGTGCACCGCTGAGACAAGCTTGTCGAAATGTGTTTCATTTTTTTCTGGTGTGATCGATGCTTGCTAGGCGTCGATTAATGCCTTGCTAGGATTTTAGGATGGTTCTTGATTGTCCCTCCGGTGATGGTAGCCTCCTATTCCCTTTTGCTGTGAAGCTGCTGATTAAGATTCACCGGATGTCTGGAGGGGACCTAACTCTTGTGTCTCTATGGGTTATCTCCCTTCTGTTGCTGGGATATTACACCACCCACCGGCGTATTTAAAGTGTTTAGTATTTACTAATTCCACATCCTGAATTTTTATCATGGAATCAGGGTGGGTGCCATCAGTGTTTGTTTTTTTTTTTAATTGTTTTTTTTATTTCAATTCCGGACTCTTATTTTGTTCTCGAAAAGTTTATCTTGAGTCCTAAAAAAAAAAAATCTGTGAAAAGTCTGTAAAAAGCGAAAATATTTTTGATACACCTTAGTCTTTCATCCTGCTTGTTTCAGATTATTCAATAAAGACATTTGTTAATCTGAGGCTAACCTTGCACAACGAGAAAATAGAGGCTGCACCGGGTGAGAATCGAACCCACTACACGATCTTGTTAAACACTGCAATAGGGGCGTTGTAACAGGGTGGTCCGAAGGTCTTATCACCCACTACCAAAAATTAATGAGAATAATAGAACAAGTAATACAGTAATACAAAAACTGGATTCAGTTTATTGACTTTCATTGACGTTGTCACGCATCAAGATCTCTATGGACACCATTTCGTGTCAGCTATCTGCAATAAAAAAATATATATGTAGGGGTGACAATACCTTTGAACCACCCTGTACATCATTGTGGTTTACGTGTATTATTTTGTTGTTTAACTTGTCGAAATGCCCCTAAAAAAATAACCTTGTGCCAAACTTAGCCAAGCTTATCAAATCACTATATAACCTTCTCTCGAATCTATCGTAGGAGTTATTGTACAGGGTGGTCCGAAAGTCTTGTCACCCCATACCAAAAAGTAATGAGAACAATAGAAGAACTAATAATACAGTAATACAAAGCACATGGACTGGATTCAGTTTATTCACTTTTATTGATAATGTCACACATCGAGAAGATCTGTATGGACATCATCATTTTTGAAAGTATAAAATATGTACAAAATATCGGTAGTTAAAAGCATAAAATCTAGTGTATATGCGTGTGCGTGTGTTGTGTATGAGGGACTTAAATATGCTTGCGCCATTTCATATATACACACGCACACAAACTGACTGAGTTTGAAACAAGACATTGGAATAATAAATTCTCCTCCCACTCAATGTGTAGAAACCTGCCGATTATTATACAGGGTGGTCCAAAATTCCTGTCACCCTCTACCAAAAGGTAACGAAACCAACAGAA